CTAGTACTGAGTAGTAAACTACAACAGTTAGTTTCTGTTGCTGCACCTGGTGCAAGTTAAATCAAGTTCTTTAAATCGAGCCTTGTGCGAATTTGTGATGATGTTCCTTTTTGTGTGAATTTCTCTGGTTGGATGAATAGCTTTTATTTTGGATCTGTGTTCTCTGTTAAACATTGCTGTTTTTCTATACTTAGTAAATACAAGTACTCTCCTGTATATTATAATCTGAAGTTCATCAAGAGAAAAGTGACATTATGATCCTTTCGTCAGAAGATTCTTATAAACATGGCTCCTTATTCAAGCATTTAGGGACAATAACAACACATGGGTGATGACATTGCTGAAGAGAGCTATTTCCACCACAACAGCATAGCTCAAACTTTATTTTTGGAAACATTTACACAGCTGGTTGTGTCTGATACATGCAAGTCCTACTGCACCTAACTAAAGCATGGTGCAATGTGGAGGGGTATCGGTGATGAAATATACTCTGAGATACTAGATTAAATTGGATCTGGCGTGCAATGTGTTACATCTTCTTTGAAGTATATTTGCTTCCAACACCTCTCCTGTACATATTAGGAAAAGTAACAAATTAGATCTTTTCTGGTTGGACAAGTAATGTGACACCTATGGCCATTTTGCCAGTTAGGAGTAACAACCTTTGGTATTTTAATGTCAGAAATTTTGATGGGAACTTTGAGACAGAAAAAAGGGCTTAGCACTTGCACAGATAGTGTTCCTTTCACCATGGCAGAAGGAAAATGGCTACATTAGTGACTCACCATAGCTGAGAATAGATTTATGGCTATGATGACAGAAGATTTCTCTTAATTTTTTGCTTGCAGAGAGTACTCAAATTTATGCAAGTTAAAACCTTGAGATAGATAGAAAACACAGAATCAGTGACAGTGAATGCACTTTGCACAATAAAGTATTATTTTCACAATCAATTTAGTTACAAATAGTGTACCATCAAATCTGCAAATGTCGAAATGAAAACGAAAATTGTTAGCTTTATATGTTTATGACATGATACTCGGTTGTCAAAGATTGTAAATAGAAGACTTTTGGATAGGAATAATACTGCCCCAGAAAGTATAATTTTGGTTTTCTTTTGTTCAATAAGCTGCTGCCTTTGGTGCACTGTGAATTAGTATAACCAGGGACCTGTGATCGCTTCAAATCAGTAGCCTGGTCGACCCCCTGTTGATAGTTAGACTGACAGTTTTCAACACATTATTACCCAATCAAGTTGTGAATAGTGTTCATTGTATATAATCATCCTCTTAATTGGTTAAATGTAATGTCATCTAAAATTGTATGAGTCATTTCCGAAACTTCATTTATAGGTCTATGAGAACTCATATTTTGCATGAAACAGATAAGAATCAAAGCCTTGAAGAAAATCTAATTTCATCATATTGCATGATTTAAGCTTTTTGATGGCCAGTATATTTTTTAGTCTGTGCCAATGAATAGAGTTTTTGATTCATGGAATCATAAAGTTGATATGAGATAATAAATATATACTTGTCATTGAGCTACTTCCTTACCTAATTTTCATGGTATGTGCAGATGAATTCTGTGGGAGTCGCGGTTCATAAATTTATCAGAGCATCACAAATTTGCACCTGACAATGCTGCGGATAATATTTTGAGCCCTTGTGAATGATTACTCATATGAAATCATACATTGGTATTTCAGTCTTTTTTGGGTATGTAATATAAGTTTACGACTTAGGTCTTGTGTATTTGGGTATTTTTATAATGACTTTGTAAGAAGTTGAATTTTAATAAATATTCTGCTGTAAATTCCATTAAATGTGTGGTTTTATGTGCCTCTTTCGGCAAAGTTTTTCAACCATGGCAAGTTGGTAGCCATTTTGTATGTGCTTCCTTAAAGTCTTTTACATAAAGTCACTTAACTCAGTCACACTTGTCACATGTTACAATAAGAGAGAGCTAGCGCTTTTGTGCATTATTCACTTCAGAAGAGTTCATGTGTGTGATGCCAGCATGAGATCAGAAAAAAGGATCAGTGAGGATATATTGGTATGCAAGCTTCAAAGGCTACAGTGGGTTACTCACACTGTTGTTACACCATTGTGTTTTAGAAATGTTTCATACATATTTGTATGCAAGAAACTTAATTGCGTAATGGGGATTTTTGTTGTGTTCATATTGTTTGCAGGTACACAGCTTGTCTGGAGCCATGATCTGACATCATGCTTAACTTAGTATCAATTCAAATTTTAACTATAATTATAATATTTTAGTAAAATGATTGCTTGAGCTCACTTTCTTACTATATACAGTCTGAACTATACAGTCACGCAAGTTGTGATACAAACTTATTGATAGCAACAATTTCTTGTCAGACAGGCTGCATTGAATAAATATGCTGATACTCATGCAAGAACAAGGTTACCGTAAATGATATGTATTGTGTCACGATTCAAGTATTGGGATGTGTAAAGTTGGGTAGGTGTATCTGTAAACACTAATGATTTCTGCAGGGATTTTCATGGATCCATCTATTTTCAAGTCCAGGGGAATCATAGACATGTGACAATCTTCTGACAATCATAACGCACGGCTTAGAATGCCTGAGAGAGCTCAACCCTTGAATGTATACCAGTTGCAAGGTTACAGGTTGTGTCATCAATGTTTTTCACTTTGATCAGAAACGTTTCTGGCAACAACAATTTCAGTCAGGGCATATAAATTTCCCCAAAAGGAAATTGAGTCCCTGTTCAGGACTTGCAATCTTTTTAGGCCTAAAAGTTGCAACTAAATAGTTGCCAATGTGACCTGATTTTCAGTAGTTTCACTATCAAATGACTATCTTGAAAAAATGTCTTGTGGTGACTGAATTTTATTACTTTTCTTTATTAGACACAGAAATAAATAACTTGATTGACATTTGCTACGCTGTTTTCTCATTTTCCTGATTGCAATCTTGGAAACTTGTGTAACTGCACTCGTCATCTGTGACAATGAACATTTAGATAGCTCCAAGCAGAAATATGTGGCAGTGAACATTTTGATAGCTTCATGCAGCGATGCAAGGATTTGGTTATGCTAAATACTTTTACTGTGTGCATCAATATGAACTTCTGATATGTATAGACCTTTTCATTTTTCTTGACAACTTCATGGCAAAGTACTTTTCCATCTCAGAACAGCAAAAAATGATCGTACCACCGAATGTTGTGAGTGAAAATGATGACAGTAACTTTGGAACTGATAATAGTGATGGATGATGTTATTCTAAGCCGATGGACGAAAATAAGGACATGGAGAAGCTGTCCATGCCGATGACATTTGAAAGTAAATCAAAATTGAAAACAAAACAAAGAATGGCTAATGAAGTATGTGTGGTTAATTTACATAAAAGGCTAATGCTATAAATTTTACATATTATGAGAATTTGATTAATAAGATAATTTCAGATGTTTTGGTGACCAATGATATTGACTTCACTTGAAAAGTATTTGTAGCCATATGGCTACTTGGTAAAACGTAAACTTTGAGCCCTGCGTTTGAAACCGGTATCACTTTAGGCTTTTCTCTCACATCAATCTTTGACAATCTGTTAATACTGAAATGTTATCCACTGACAAGTGCATTTATGGTTAACATGATTTTCATGTGTTCAAAAAAAGTGTTAATTAATCTATTTTTCATATTATTTATCTTTCTGAAAGAAATCACTCCACATGGCCACACTTATGTATTCACTCAATCTATGCTGCATATCATCTACACAATTCAAATCTATTTCTTTTCACATTTTGAATTGACTGTTGAAGAAATGTCTCGCTTGAATAATAACATTATCAAGTATTACCATACAGCCTTTCCTGTGTAAACTTGCGAAATTAGGTCAGACCTAACAATCAATGGACAGATGTTTCATATACATATTCAGGCTTTAGAGGTTTCGTTTAGCTTGTATCCATGGTAACTGAAAAGTGACGACAAGAATTGATGAAAAGATTCTTCTTATTGTATTATAATAAGTCTTTTCAATAAGCACCGCCTGATGAAACATACTTCATACTTGTTTATGAATCAGTGTTTGTGGAGGACTTACCGTATTCGACGTAATAAGCGCCCAGGGCGCTCTCAAAATTAGAAATAGGGGGCTCCTATTAGAATATTATTTTGGTGGAAAAAAACAGAATTGAAAGATAAATTTAATTTCGGGGGTTTATGCTGACAGCCTGAAATGTTTATATACGACAGATATATTTTTCCAGAATTGAATTGCCCATAATTAAGGGTGCATATAGCGCACGAGTGCGTATTATATGCAAATAAATAATTGTACATTGATCAATCGGAAGGGGTGCTAATTGGGATTGTTCACTGGCCAATATATTAGCAAATATCGCCATGGGTGCTTATTAGAGGGGGGCGCTTATTACGTTGAATACGATATGTATCAGTGTTGAGCTATTGAAAACAGGTAGACACACTGTTGGAAAATTCAAACTTGTCCGCAGCTGATATCAGACTAGAGCTTTTTGTAAGATAGCTAGTTTTGGTTTAAAACAACTAATCCTTTGGATTTTTAACTTGTCTCAGACTGACAGAGCAGTGGACGTGTCTATCCTTGTGAAAATAAAACTTTGTCCTGGCTACAATTAGCTGATTACTGATTCCATTTAGATTTTGGGTGCAATTTCTATTGAAAAAGGCAGATGAAACAGTTAATGTCATTTGAAACTTGTAGAACATATGCCATGATTTGGCCTGGCTTTGTAACTTTGTACTGGACAGGGTGAGCAATTAAGCTGTGTCCTTGAGGAATTGTGCCTTTATTTTCATGTTTTTAGGTGTCTTCATGTTTAGAAGATTTTGACAAGAATCCTTGATTTTTATCCCTGCTTCAATATATAGTTGATCAGAAGATAGGGCATCAAAACAAAAGATTCTCATTTGAAGTAAGGAACAGAATCCTAATACTGAACATGCAGGTATTGTTATTGCAGGTATTGAAACCCCTGTTGCCCAGTCAGCCACTGGTTCTCCCGATTCTGAGACTGGAGATGAACAGACAGCCTCGCCCTGTGATGGAAAGTCCGACATTCAAGAGCACCATCAGACAGTACGAACAAATTCACAGGTGATGCCAGCCATTTTGAAGTAAAGATCATGCCATTTGGAGCAATAGAAAGCACTTAGATTTCATAGGATGAAAATAAACATGTGCACCATGTTTAAGTTGCTGAGATGTATGTCTGCAGGATACTATTTAGTAACATGACACCAGAATATGGTCATGACTGTGGATAAGACAAAGTTTCAAGTAACATGTGAAGTAAAGTATTGGCTTGAACTTCTATTGGTATTTTTGTTGATTCTATTCTGTGGTAAATCTTGTTTTACCATTCAAATCAGCTTGAAATTGTGTAGAATTTTGAAATTTGTCTGAAGTCAAATTTCTCAGGGAATTTTGATGTTCATTAAAAGGTAATTAAATTAGGCACAAATGGCATTTCTAGACATACACAGGAAAATGTTTCTTTGTTTTGGTGAAATAGAACTACAGTCATCCAAATCTTGCAAGTGTTAGATTGTCAACAGCTACAGTTGAGAGTTACTCCCCTTCAATGTGTACATTCTGTTGTAAACCAAATCAACAAACTAAGAGGTTTTAGTTTGCTAGCTGAAACTTTATGTGAACAATGAAGTTGATCTAATATGGATGTCTGTTGAATAAATAATTTCAGAGTAAAATGAAAACTTTACAACGAGCCGAGGCTTTGTGTGATGACAGTTCCCCCCCTCCTGATGTGATGTACCCAATAGAACATCTGGAATCCAAGGAATCAAAGGTGTGTTGGTCAGTCAAAACATCATATTGGAAAATTGTGGAAAGCAAATTCAGTATCTCATTTCATCATTTTGTCATCATGTTAAAGCTAGATGTCACATTCTTGTGTCTATAATGTATAAGATTGATAAGGTTTTGGAGGTTTTTCTTTTTTTTCTTTGAAACAAAGGAAGATAGGTTTTGGTTAGGATCAAGAGGATAGCAGTGTTTCCTGTTTCAAACTATCCTCTTTTGTCCAGTTTGTTGCTGTTGAAGTATGATGCTCCTCAGAATATCAATCACTGGTTTGCGAATCCAGACTTGATTATTTACAGGCTGCTGTCATTCCAGCTAGAATAAACAAAAAAACACAAGTCACTTTTGAACCCCCCAAACAATTTTGAGCACTACAGAAATAGGCTGAAAAAACATTGGATAAGTCATGAACGTTCAGTGAAAATGAAGAGAGTTTCATTTGATTTTTCGCTTTTTTAAATCTTTTGTGGATATTACTGTGGACAGGATTGCCTCATATTCAGCTTGCTGCTGTTCAGGGAGGTTTGTATGGACATTGACACAGAATATGCTGAACGAGAATAGTGCATGGATATGTTGCCATTTGAGAAAATGCACTTTTAGCAGTAATCTGGCTGATTTAGAGTGCAATTATAGCTTGGTGATGATAATTGATGAACAAGTACACAATGTATGTTGTTAATGCCACATTCACCAGTATTCCAGCCATACCACAATTTCCTGTAGATAATCAAGTCTGGACAAGGCATGATAGGATCTGTGAGTACAGCACTGTGGGTAGATTTGACAACAATTTGTTTGTAGCCACCAGGGTTTGCTCCTTCAAAAAATTACTGGCCTTTCTCCTGGCCTACAACAACATGGTGGAGGCCGCTTAGTGGCTGAATCTGAGGTTGCGTAGCCACCCAGCGGGGCTCAGAAAAGTTTAGAAATCCTCACCCCTAAAATGCCTTTTCCTGCACTCTGAGGATAAATCTTGGCTTCCATTTGCCTCATTTCATGGCCATTTTTTGAGCAAACAAAGATGCTCTCCACAACATTACAAAATGGCAGCCAGTTGTCCATCTACAGAGATGATCAACATAAATCTTTCTTTGAGGTAATCATTCACCCGACCCCATCTCCCCTTAATTTTTTCTCGTTGAAATTGCAGGATTCACGAGCCGTGTCCAAATTTAAAAAAAGAAACATACATGGAGAAGGGTTGAAATTTTGACTTGCCAGATGTGCCATCTTCTTTACGTTTCAGCAAGCCCTTTGTAATTTTAACTGGCCACAGGCCAAAGGGCCAGCAGTTAAATCGACCACTGATGATGATGTGGACTACATGTACCCTGTTGACTTCTTGTTTCTTCCTTTAGCTGATCATGATTAGAAGTTCTACATTCAGAAGTGGAATGTAGTATGTCAGATAGTGAAGAAAAAGAACAACTTTTGAAACAGCCAGTCTTTACTGTCTGAATTGTATCAATTTCCAGATAAGGAGTGAGAGAAGGTTAGAGAAAAGTGGATCGCAGAGTTCTGAGGCAGGAACCTCATCAAGTTTATCTAGAGGTAGGGGAATATTGAAATTATGCCAACACGTCATTGATAGCATGCACATGAAAACAGGAGATTCCAGTCTGATATTGACAAGAAGATCAAAATATGGCACTGGTCTGACATTGTGTGACTATTGCAGGTGATCATGGCTGGTACATTGATGATCAACTTATCTATGATGTGGCTGTGTTTGGCTTTTATCACAGGCTGACTGCCTGGATTGATTGTATCTGCCATTAGGCTGTCTGCTGCAGATTCTGTATGCTGCAGATGCTGAGATATTGCTGACAACACCCAATCACTTAGTGTTTGGCTTCAAATTGTTATGAAAAACATAAAATTGTAATGAAGACAATCTACTGCAGTTTATAATGACGATGTCTAGGAACGTATATGAATATTGATATTCTCATGCCTTTCATGTTTCAGAGTCAAGTTTAGATACACAGTACAAAGACTCCACTGGGATTGACCTAGAAGAATTTATAAAAAGGACATTAAATAAATCAGTCAAAGATAAGAAAATGATTTTACAGTTAGCTAGAGATCTCAAGAAATTTGTCAAAGAACCAAAGTAAGTATTGTCGTGTGTGTATGTGCGTGTGTCTGTGTCTTTGTGTGTCTGTATCTCTGTGTCTGTGTCTCTTCGTGTGTGAGCATGCATGAGTGAATGCAAGAGAGAATTAACATGTAGAAAAGGGTTATTAGCAATGATTTTCGAGGTTTTCTTTGACAGTTTTAATTGTTCACTAAAACCTCATAAATCTGAACATGCCATTATGTATTGTTTAACATGCTTAAGGCAATATGTCAGATAAGTCTGCCTATTTTGCTGATTGCACAATACTTTTCCCTCATTCTGCTGAAATATTCATTCTCATGTTAGCTTGAATTGTGAACTGAATTTAGGCATTTTGAGTTTAAAAACATTTACCATATTACCAACATTTTGCAATTCATGTTTTGTGCTTATGTTCTTTCAATCATATCTTACAGACATCAGTTTCTCCAGTTTGCTGAGATGTCGTCGTATGATCGTATGCTGGTTCATCGAATTGCGGCGTTCTTCGGCCTGGACCACAATGTTGACCAGAGTGGCAAAGCTGTAATAGTTAGTAAAACTAAAATCACAAGGATGTAAGTATTTCATTGAATCTTCACCTAATATCTTTTTGTACTTGCTTTGGTACATGCCTATATTTGATCATTGAAACTATTTTAAACATTATTTGTGTTGGAGATGCACTTTTCTTTGTTATGTTAAAGATTGCATGCGATTCAATTGTGTAGGCTTACATTTCTATGTAATTATTTCCTAATTATTATGAAAACATACACTATCTATTAACACAAATATGATATAGATAGCTTTATATTTAATAATAGCAAATTGCACTTTCATCTATGAGTTTAGCATCAATCTCCAGTTGTGAATGAGCACGTTTAAATAAGGAGTGTTTTTTATGTTGAATTTAATTCTATCCATTGTAATGGTTTGGTGTCCATGAAGTTTGTTTGTCATGATGTTGCAGTATTTCATCATCTTTCCAGAGAATTGTATTTACACCTTCCTTCTGTAGTTCTTAAATTCTGGCAGCATTTATGAGTGGATTTTCTATTAAAAAAATTGGTAGCCTAGTGGTTAATGCATTCGTTTGTCACACTGTGAGCCTGGGTTTGATTCCCCACATGGCAACAGTGTGTGAGTGCTCAAGGGGAATTCTTGCAGTAAATTTGGATTTGTTTTTAAATTGATGTGAAAGCATTCTCTTGCTTTTTACAATCAAGTTTGAAGAAATGCAGTATAAATCAAGGAAGCTCTCCATGACAGTGAATTATGTGTACACACTCATGGTCTTAACATCTTTTTGATTTATTTTCAGACCTGATTTTTGTTTTGAAGATCATATACAGAAGGGTGGGGATATGGGTACAAAAAAGAAAATATTACCTAGGAAAGCACCAAGTTTAGATGAAAAAGAAGTAAGTATTTGATTACGAGTTTGTAGAAAGCTGATTTCAATAAGGCTAAAAATGTTCACTGTTCAGTACCATCAAACGTTACTAAAGTACTTTTGCAAAAATGAAAACATTGATTTATTTATCAGCCTTCTATGGATCAGTTCATTCACTAGGGCATGGACTGATTACCAAAATGTCTCAAAGATATTTTTCAAATTTGGTCAAAATATGAAAGAATGTCCTGTTGAAAGTTGATAAAATCATGAATACGTCCCAATGCCTTTTATTTCAAGCAGTATCACTCAATGTGTAAAACCCACAAAGTTGGTTCCCTGTTTTTAGGTAAAAGCTATAGGCATCAATTCCGAGGCATGTATATAGGATAAGAGGTAAAATATGCAATTCATAATTTGTGTACTTTTGTGGATTTGCTACATTTTAGGATCTTTTGATTTTTCAGAGTAAAGGTTTAGAAAAGCACCTATTTGGTAGCAACCGTGCCAAATCACTGGAAGAAAGACAGAAGAGCTACGAAGAAGCCAAAGCTAGAATATTCAAGAATGGAGAGGTAGATAATATGTTCCCTGACAGATATGACCAGTTTAGAAAATAATTAAGAAATCTGGGTACCCCCTAAGTCTGTAGATTTTGACATAAGTGTTATGACAAGGCTTATTGTCTCTGATGCTTAGTTTCACTGTTGACACAATGCCGCTGTTCAGCCACAGGGAACAACATCAAACTTACAACATTCAAGATCCTAACTGCTCCATAGTTTTGTCATATTGGACTGGGACATTCTAAATTTTGGAAGATTTTACTGATATGCTTCTAAAGAACAAAAATGCATAGGTGATATAGATGTATTTATGAAAGAGACAAGTGAAAATAATGTCATGAGTTCTCACATCTCCCTCAGAATACATTTGGAAACTACTGGTATACACCTTCCCGAAAAGGGAGTTAACTGATTATACAAGTCCACTTCCCCCCCTTGCCGAACTAGGCTGGAATTTCCAGGCTCAACTGTAGCGCCACCAGTGGCTATTATGAGTTATGTCCCTTCTGTGTCCCTCCTATTGACCTCTATCATCAAGTCAAGACGATCTGATGGATAATCAAGATCTATATTGTAATAAAACGGGCCCTACCTCACGAAATGTGTATCAAATAACTCTAGCACCTTGAATAAAAACATGAAAAGATTTGCAAAATATCTGTCAATGCCCAGTTGGCAGTGCACATGCTTTGCAAATCCTTCACTCTACCGAAATCTGCACGTTGAACTCCATGTTTACGAATTGGATGTCTATATTGTTACGCAATTTTGATTGGACAATGCATCAATTGTTAGTCCAGTCAAAATGTAACTCCGGAATTCCAGCCTAGTTCGGCAAGGGTGGAAACTGGACTTTTATAGTCAGGTAACTCCCTTGCCTTAGAAAGATGACTGGTATATTGCGGGTTTTTTTCAAAATCATGCAGTGACAAGTTGAATCAAAATTATGACACTCAAGATTAGCAACTAATTCCTGTTATCGAAGAAGCGAAACTATTCACGACAAGTGTTCTGTATATAACATGTCTGTTCCGCATGCATGGAGACCAAAGCAACATCTTACAAAATGGTGGACAAATATAAAGTTGTCAGAAATGTGTGGGGAAAGGTGTTTTTTTATTCAGCTTTGAAACAAATTACGGATGAAAGAACACCTGCAATGTATTGTGGTAATTATCACAATACCTGAATAGTTATTACAATAAATTGCAATACAAAATCCAGGCCAATACCCATCGCTAGTTACTTCTCACACATAAAATCTGGCTGTGGTTTTTCCTTTCTTGAGGAGTATGTACAAGAACATTATAAAAACTGATGACACTTTCTCATTTGCCCTTGACATTAAGATTCATTACTTGTTCTCAGCCGTGATTCATTGTAGTGTAAGCAGCTTCATAAATTGTTTTCTTAGTTTATTTTGTTTCATATTGTTAACAGTGGCTGTTTTTGTTCATGTTGCCTGCAAGGACTATAATATTGTGTCTTCTTCTTACAGGGTGGCTCTGAAGATTACCTGTCTTGTGCTCCATTAGTGAGGTATGTGTCTAAGTAATATGATTTTCTTTCCATCGAGTCAGCTCACATGTTGATCTTGGATGCTTTATATCTCTTCTTTCAAATTCTACATTTTTCACACAATAGAAGTTTAAGATTTATTTCCAGTAAAAACCAGAAATTTTGGTTTAATTAACAAGTAATTATGCAAGATGGTTTATGATATTTTAGTAATAGTCGATCGGGTAAATCCAGCCTTGTGAGCAGCAAGGAAGACCTTGGTTCGCGGCAGCCAAGTACAGACTCCAGTGGGTATGGGTCATGTGAAAACACGGGTAAACAGTCTCGGCTGAGCATACAGAAAGCCAACAGCTATGGTGGCATGCCAGGACATCCTTTGGTGAAAAGCCATGGCTCAGCAAGCTTCTCCAAAGCAGGTATGGTAACCAGTTGTCATGGTGAAGGTAATATACAGTCATTTTGATCATATCAGTAGCAAGGGGTGGCATGATTCATTTCCAGTTTATTTCTTTATCTTGTTTGTTCTAAAGTTCTACAAGTGCTCAGAAAATTCATGTTACTTTTAAAGAAAGAAATACCTGAGCACCAAGAGTTCATTCACTGAACATTGTTTTCTGTACTTTCCATTGAGAGATGATCAAACTGATCATGTAAGAGTCAACTCTGTAAAGCAAATTTAAGTTGCATCGTATTTGCCCTTCTATCTTTTAATAGTGTAAAAAATATATCTGATGTTTTATTTATAGTTTCAAGCTACTTGATCTTTGCAGTTTTGAAATTAATCAACCTTTACAATGATTTAAAGAATTCTAGTTTTGAAGTTTGTTTTTATGTTTTATACATTCTATTACCTTACAAATTTACAAATGATGAAATAATTAAATCTGGACCCCACAAACCAGTGATTGAAATCAATCAACCAAGTCACAGAGACCGATCACTCAGTCCATATTGTCACCTGACAGGTTTTGGTTGCTGGGGACCTGTTCTAATCCAGGAGGGGGGTTGTCTATTATGAGGAAGTAAGATTTTGATGTGTGCTATTGTTTTTCTTTGTAGCCTCAGTTTGTATTACCTAAAACATCTTGTATAGTTTGTATTGAAAAACATCCTGTCATAATAGATTCAGTAAGCAGTGGCACATCGGGTAGCTTTGACTGCGGGTCTGGTCGGCCGTACCCTGTGCCAACATCCCCACCAGGCAGCCAGTCGGATCACTCGCCACTCTCCCGCAGCAGTTCCACTGGCCCTGTTCCATCACCACACACCTCAGGTAAGGCAATTATTTTTGACTCAATTATCTATCTGCATCACAACGCATCTCAGGTAAGGCAACAATCTTTACACACTGCAGGTAAGGCAACAATGTTTAGTCTCGTGGCATCATTTTTAGTATTTTAGTGTTGTCATATGGCCTATTATAAGCTGAACTTATTAGACCAAACAGTGTTTTATTTTACTTGTGTTTCCGGCTTGTGGTAGGATTGTAGAATGTAGGTGTAACGTACATGGTGGAACATTCACAGGATCAGACCAGGGCTGTGATCGAGATGGCTCAACAGGAACCAGGTCAAGGACAGATTGCAAATAATTTGAGAGAATCTAACTTGGTAACACAGGACAAACTGAGGTGACAGAAGTACTTGGTGATGACATTCTGTACTGTTTTGGTGTGCCTGTCCGATCCACTGATCTGTCCTTATGTCACATCTGGAACCTATTGTATTGATGTGACTGTCTGAGGAATCCCCCTGCTGCAGATGTCCGGACTTTCTAGCTTCAAGAAGAAACAAGCATCAACATGGAGTCCAAATTTCTTTCATTGTGCGAGGTCAAGAAGTCATTATTGTATGTGGAGGACACACCTTGTATTGAATTTGTGGGAAGATGTTTTTAACAACTGTATTTTAACTTTTCTTGTTGCCTTCAACTCAAACTTTGGATAAGGCCATCATCTGTTTACTGTATGAACCTACCATTAGCACATGCTTTTCTTCCACATCAGTAAACTGTCATCAGTATCAGAACTCTTTTCTCTGTCATCACCACACAACAGGGTAAGGCCACATTTGTTGCCTGGAATATGAACCTTTGTTGTCCCCTGTCATCATCTCCACACACTCTGGATAAAGTTGAAAACATTTAAGTCATGGAATCCTAGATCTTGATACTTTGTTGTAGCAGGCAAGTGGAAAGAGAGGTTGAGACGAGTAGTGCAGGAACCAGCTGTTTTGGAGGCATGGATTAGTGTATGGATGATAACCTCTAAGTTGGATAGATTTGGACCTTCTGTGGTTGTTATGTGCTATAGTCATAAGAAGGATGTTCTTGAGATATGATGTCTGGGTGGCGACAATGATGACAAATATTGATAGACCTTGTCATTATTTGCTTTGCAGTCTCATTAATTAGAAGCGGTGGTTATTGTCGTAAGATCATACCAAAACTGAACTGTACAAATTACTGTCTGACAAGTGAATAGTTTCAAGTGATGCATGTAAAACATCGCCACTGAATTATTTACAAGGGTTATGTTGAATTTCTAAATCCTTTCTTTATACCTCCCCGAATTAATCACACCTACACATGAAATATGTCTCAACATCATGCTGACTGATTTTCACCTACCTCAGTTTGAATAATGATGTGGAGAGATATTGCAAGGTTGAGGACTAGAGTCTGAAGAACTTTGTCCTCCATTGCAAACTGCAGTGATGTGTTAATTGTTTTGCATATACCCACTGGGTTAATGCCTTCTTCAAGTGATTCTATAGCTTGAGTAGAGTTCCGATATGTTTGACAGCAGCTCCTTTACTTTGTTCAGGTGGTGGTGGACCGGGCCCAAGTTCCCAATATGCCTTCCTGGTAGCGATGGACCCTACCAACATCCCGCCTGGAAGTATGATAATCAACCCACAAACATGTGGGTGGGATTTGTCTGTTTTAACAAGCATGAATCCCTTTTCTATCTTTTTGCTCTTTATAACTGTCTATGTACATGTTGATTCTGTTTCTATTATCTCTCAGGTGTATGTCCATCAAGCTGCTATGCATAGTGGAATGTTTCAGATGGGCATTTATGGGACTCACTGATGGGACATTTCTGGAATATCAAATGACTGTATTTAGTAGTATTTGTTTAGCTGTGAAAGTAACCATGGTAATCAGGTTTATCATATGTTCTCGTCAGCTGATATGTTTTCTAAGTAATACTGATGAAAAGTTACAAGCTTTAGACAGTTGACCAGAATGTTTTCAATGTAGAGAATTTTAATTGTGTTACTCTATCACTTGTCATATTTTGCATGTAGATACATATATTCATTGTGTGCTGGTTTTCAATGACTGTCCTGTAAAGACAAGATGAGTAATTTGTCAAATATAGTTGTCCTCAGAAAATAATGTACTGACCTATTGTAATAATAGTTTCCTGCAGTGTAAATGGTAACATGTGGAGCATTCTCTCTCATTTACATGTATATCAGCTTTTGTTATTTTCAATAAAATATGTGCCACAACGCGGAACATTAGACATCTGTTGCCTGTCCTGGTCATTGTCTGTTAAGATCCCCAGGAAGAGTCTGTCATCACAACAGTCTGTTATATTCCATGTTTGAAGATGCAGCTGAGGTAGTAATAGAAATTAAGAATGAATAGTTAAATGATCCAGAGCCGCTTTCCACCAAATGGTCTTTGCGCGAAGATGATAACAAGGTCATACTTTAACATTGACTTACATCAGTCATAATGCTCGGATTATTTTGTGTAATGGGTCCCTTGTTAACTAATGTTACAACTTTAACCATTGAGGGTTCCTCAACCAAAATACTATAGCAGAAAGCTTTAAGGACATCCCCCTTAATTTCTATCACTGCCAGGTATAGGCATAGACCTGTGAGATTATTTCAGTTAACATAACCTCTTGTATAGTGTCAGTAGCTGCACATATAGTGGAACTATCATCTGTAATCACAAGCTTGATGTTTCTAGATGTCTGTGATAGCCCACATACATTATACTGTATTTGTTTGTAATTCAGTGTGTGTGCATGCTTTTTACCAACAATGGGAGTTTCATACAAAAGACACATGTGCCTGTTTTCATACCATTGGTTTCTGTGACTGTACTGCTTGAGATGCTAATTTGAAAAGGATTGGTTTTCTTTAATGATGCACTTGGAGTCATATTTTTTTCATGTTTGTTTATTTGATTGTGATTATTTATATTTTTAAATATATTTTTTTTTATTTTGATTAATGTGTTGTTTTTTTGTGTGTTATTTGTTTATTTAACTGAGTGGTCACATTTATTTGTTGCATTTGATAAATTAATGTTTCTTTTAAAGAATGATGACCCTGTTACTTGTCTAAAGTAAGATTGTAGCAAATACTTCAATGATTTCATGTTTCAGTACAACCCCATGTGAATCCCGACGGGTCTTTGTATCGGTATGATCCAGCCCAACCCCCACCCTGGCTACCCAGTGCAGGGTCATCAGTACATCCATCGACACCTTCATCAACATCATTCCCAAATAGTCTACCAACACAATATTCTAGTGTATGTACCCATGTTGTAAGTTGACAATTGTTTTGAATCCCATTATATACCTAATTATTTTAAATATCAACAGATTAGAACCTCTCATTCGTTTACTTTGACTGTTTTTTACTCATTTACAATCCTTGATGTAGGATTGTTACTGAAAAAAATACAACCCTAAAATATAATTTATTTGGGTTTTTTTATTTGGCAATCTACATGGCTAATGTTAAGGCTGGCATGATAGAGCTTTGGATGGATGTCCATGCTGTGATACCTATGACGTACTGCTTAAAGGGTTTATAACCAAAGTTGCTGTCTCAAACTGTTCTTGATACTTACTTATGCATTTCTTCTTTTCAGGATCAAGACACCATACATCAGTTTTCAAACATGCATATGTCAACCGACATAATAGATTCCCTGCAGCAGCGTGGTCCTGCCCCCCACACCCAGCAGGGCTCCCACATCATGATGAGCACCCAGCAACCCTACCAATCCCAACCTCCATATATACAGGTAACTGAAGCAATTAGACATTGAATTGTTTGCAGTAAATATAATATTTCATTACCACTTTGTCTTATGGCAGTAGGGGCCACGGGTGTCCAAGTCGTCTAGGGCGCCGCGATTTGCTGTGCAGAGTTGTGTCCCTTGGACACGCCAGAAACCTATGATTGTGGGTTCGAATACCGGTTCGCCCCAATTATGTTTCTAGGTTTGTCAGCACCATACCCGTGCTCGTAGGTTTCACAGAAGTGGTAAACGTCTGAGACCTGCATCACTTCGGGCTTTCCTCTCACATTAAGCTGACACGCCACGATATAACTGGAATACTGTTAAAAGCGTCATTAAACCCAACTCACTCACTCACTCTTATGGCAGTTACAAAAGGCACACCTGAGAACAAACTATGTATTTATGTTATTTTCTTTGTTTCACAGTGGTTTTTGCTCATTTATATGATTTCTGTTATCTGTCTTCAAGATAAACTATCCCCAGCCCTCTCTTTAAAGACCAGCACAGAGCCTGTAAATGGAATGTTATTTTGTAACTTGAAACTCCACAATCTCTGCTCAGATCCGAGCAAGTTCTGACCTCTGAAGGATAGGATATATTGCAAATTGTGTTCTTTTTCAAATTACTTGTATCCAATTTTTGGTGGATAAGATATCTTGCTAGTTTTGCAAGGTAATGCCATTGGTTACTGAAAATGCACAAGAAAGTAAATGGTAGTTTTGCATTACATTGAAATATACAGCTGACCATTGTTGTTTTGATATGACTTAAACAACGGGGGGTACCTCAAAAGCAGCCCACAGTAATATCTTAATTTGTTTTTTGCTGTGACTTGTCTAATTGGAGTATCCATATTTCAGGAGTTATTTTGTCTCCCAGAGCACTTGATGGCAACCTTACGTGCTCTTTCATGCCATCATTTTGATAACACTTTGAGAGCTCACAAGATTATCTCCCTTTGATGTCCACTTGCACATTGCTTCATTTGCCCATTAACAATTTTACTGCAAATGTATGATCTCTTCCATCCTCAACATTCAAAGAAATGAGTGTAGTTTGTTCATTGTGAGAGAAACCACTCTTTATGATTAACACTGAAGTAGCTTACATGTATTTTGGACTTTGTTGTGCTTGTGCCTATTTAGACAGGGAGACTGCATGCCACACATTACACTGTATCTATATCTTATCTCGCTTGTCTGCCACGACTGTTGTTAATGCTTAGGAACATCTTGGTCTAATGACTACCCCTAAAGCCTCGAAGATGTTGTCAGATCAGGCTAGTGAAGCGTATGTCACTAAAGTAACTGTAATAAGGAGTATATTATACTGCCTAAGGTTGTTTGTGATGTTTGATGTAAAGCTTGTAGGTATATAAACTTATGGATGTGTAATCAGGGTTTTTTCATTCCGTGAATCTGTTGAATGTATCCACACAAACTTTTGTTCTGTATCGATAGGAATTTTAAAATACCAATAGTTTTATCAATAGTATGCCTAACAATCAATAGTTTCAATAAGTTATAAATAAAACATTATTTAGGCCTGTTTCAAACCTGCCTGTATGTTGGTAAGCAAGGATTGTGACTACTTCAGAGTCAGAGTTACTGCCCTTTGGTTTGAGTTCTCAACAGGGAGAAAAATGCCAGATTTTGGTATTGTCAGCAATACTTTATTCATTTCTGTTACATTGATTAATATCATTATTAATTCTTTAAGCTGGTTGACATATGGTTGACATCTATTGCAATACTATTACAACAGTTAGGGCTTCTATTGCTATACAATTGCAATAGTGAAAATAGCTCCAATAGTCACCCCTAGTAGACATCCTCAATCTGTTATTTTCCACAAAAGACCTGTTAAGTATTGGTTATGTATCACTTCATTGCCAACATGGATATCAACAGAAGTGTAATATAATGTTAAAGACCTGTGAAGAGTCGGGTTAGAATTGGAATCATGTGAAAGAGGCCACCCCAACTGGGTAACATTTGATAGTGCTTTGCTTTGGGGAACAATATGGTTTTCACAGGAGGTGGGGGATGTTCAATTAGCTCTGAAGGTATTTAAACAAAGGTTAAAGGATTGCTTTGTTCAATATTGGCAAGGATCAGGAACTTCATCTAAAACTTTAGAATTCTATGCTTGCTTTAGGTTCTTGTTGGAATGTGAGATATACTTGTTACATATCAACATCTTAAATGGATATATTTCTTCCGAATACAGGATTGTCATAGGGGTCAGTGTGCTATAAATAATTTAGAATTTATATGTCCAGTATGTTCAGTATCTGGAACTGAAAACCATGTGCTATTTAATTGCCCAGTATGTGATCTAGATCACACAAAGCTAACACATTTAATGAACATTAATATGCTCGATACGTTACTAAGACCAGAAATTAAAAAGTTCTGTTTGCAATATCGATACCGGTATTTGTGCATGCAGTATTCAACTTAGAGGAGATCTGTAACATCATTTGGTTGGTAGACTCTAATAATATAAATAATGCATCACTCATGTGAATTGTATACAACTAACAATTTGGTCCACAAGTCCTTATAATGATAACATATTTCAAAACCCTTAAAAAGGGCTAATTTCTACCAGTCATTAGGATACCTTAACTTTTGGGCAGTTTGGCAAGGACTATATGACTAGTGCTAATTTCTAATGCTGCATATGCATTATGGGCCATATGGTCTTGAAAATAAATAATACTTGACTTGATATCTTATCTACCATCTGTGTGTTACAGCCTACATACTACCCTGGGCCACAAGGTGTGACAGGCCAACCAGTGCGCTACACGTATCAGGTGCCATATCAGATGCAGAGTCAGAGCTCTATGGATAGTCAGCCACAGCCACATCCAGCAAATGTGCCCCATATAGGACAGTACTCACAGGCCTATGTTCAAGGTTACCCAACAACAAACTATCCTAATGTTGTGGTTCAACAGAGTGCTTCTCAAAGTGCAGACATGTCAGCATCTAGTAATGTGTCACAGACTGGAGTGTACACGGGTCCTCACCAGGACAGTAATGTTCCCTCATACTCTATACAATACAGCCCCTATAGCCAGCAGCAGCAACAGCAGAGCAGCTATGGGCAACAGGCCCAATCCCCAGTGTTCTATAGTGTATCCTCCACTAATCCTCAGCTGGGCTACAGCTTTACTGGGCCAACAGGCTCCACCATTAGACCCACTACACCTCCTAGTCAAGGTAACAACATACCCAACCCTAGCATAGCAATAAACATGGCCCAACCTGTGAACTTTCAGCAGCAAGCAAGCGGGTCTGGTGGTGGGCACAGTACTGCCACCTCGCCGCAGTATGGAACCTACTACCCCCAGCTTCACCAGCAGGCAGCAGCAGCCATCAGGCCCGTCAATCAGGTCATGCAAATTGCCGGTGTTCAGTCTCATGCTACACCAGGCCCTTCAACCCAACAGCCATTCTCCATCGTTAGACCAAGTATGCAAGTAGGCCTCCCTGCGGGGAACATCCCGCCACAAGCAGGTAGTATTGGGCAGCATGCAGTGGGGTACAAGGGATACTCTATCAACACCTGTTTTCAGAAGCAGAGTGTTGGAGGTGATGGCAGCAAGGACACGGCACCCACTCCCACCGTGTTGCCAGGCAACCTCAGTCATATTACTGGTCACATGCCATCAGGGTCCAGTGTGAGACCACAGCAACTAGGAACGGGTAAGTCACATGACTGATGAACGCAAAACTAGTTTGTATATTAGCGGTCACCCATCTTTCTATGTTTTATTGGGGGCGGTTGGGTAGCCTAGTGGTTAAAGCGATCGCTTGTTATGCCGAAGACCCGGGTTCGATTCCCGACATGGGTACAATGTGTGAAGCCCATTTCTGGTGTCCCCGCCGTCATATTGCTGGAATATTGCTAAAAGCGGCGTAAAACCTCACTCACTCACTCACTCACTCACTCACTCACTCACTCACTCACTCACTCACTCACTCACTCACTCACTCACTCACTCACTCACTCACTCACTCACTCACTCTGTTTTATTGGCCAGACGACTGCTTGAAGGTTTATAAAATGTGGTTTTTTTTAAAGAAATTTTATTTAAAGATGCTACCATTCATAATGAAAGGAGTTTCCTTTAGGAACCATTTGCAAGATGAAATGTCATTGTCATTAATCAATTATTCAGTTATGTTATCAGTGTAATTGTCCTGGGTGGGACCATGACCATATTTAATGTGTCTTGGATATCTTGTTTCTGAATGGCAGTTAATGTTAAATGTATGGCTGCTGTGTGCACTTTTCATTGGCAGATGGTAACTTGGTAAACACAGATATTTTCCTGCTGTTAGTGTTAGGTGTAGAAGTCTTAAGATGTACCATGACAGAATTGCTAATTTTTTTTCTCTCCTTAATTCAGGTGACATGCGAATGTATGGGCAGACATTTCGCCCACAGCTACAGCCTTTACAGTTACAGAGAGCCACTGGTCAGCAGCCCCCAAACCCACAACAGCCCAAACCAAGGTGACGAGAATACAAACACAATCTAAGCAGGCTGCTGCATTGACTGACTGAAAAATATCAGTTAAGTTGCGGTGATAGATTTATCCACAAGACATTTTAGTAAGAGGGTGGTCAGGAACATGCGCAGTGTGAGTGGTATTAGGACTGGTGACCAGGGAAAGACTGCTATGCTTTACATTGTGTTCATTATTCATAATGGTATAGATGGTTGCTTGTCCTATTGACAACTATTTTCTGTCCCGATTGCTTTTCAGGAGGTTATCATATAACTGTTCAATTGCTTACTGACAACACAGTCATTCAGTGGTAGAACTTGCAATAAAGAGTCTCTTACCACTTCACTATTTTAACCAAAAGCCTGCAGGTGTTGTAATTATTTAATGATGAAAATGATCTTATATTTTTATATTGAGTTCATGTAACTTATGCTAATGTCCAACCTCCATTACATCATAGCAATAAATCCTGTCATCACACTGTAAAATCTTCAGATTTTTATCAGAAGTCCTCTTCCCCGTCAACTTTCCATAAGCAGTTGTGCAAGTAATAGTATCTTATTCCTGTATGTGATTACACACTTTTTAGGGTTAAGTTGAATCCATGTTTTTGGGGTACAGATGGCACATTGTTTAAGGTTACATCCCTTATTTCAGAAAGTTAATAAATCTAGCACCTGCATCACTTTGTGGTTTCCTTATTAAACTGACAGGTGATGATATTATTGAAAGACTATTCAAATCGTCTTTATCCCAACTCACTCGCTCCCTCATTGTGATTATGTTTTCACCTTGTATTGCAGAGAGTGACCTGTCCCTGTTGGGCGTGTGAGTTCACCTCGACCTGGAGATCTGATAGAGCAATGTCGTCGTCATCGTTGTTGTCACAGGGTGCCTATCTCTAGTTTCACATCATCTGCCACCGCCACAGGCACTATCGTCTGCACCGCCGGCCGGCAATTTCGTACCTGCGTACAGACAACCATCAGTCGGGGAACAACAACAATCAAATTTTACCATATCACAGTTGTAAACACCATGTTTTAGCAATATAGTGAAATACAGGAGAAGCTGCCTCACCTTGACATGTCACCTGAACTGGGATTGTGGGCAGGTCAAGGTCATTAGACAAGGTCAACATCTGCGAGACATGAGCGTATCAGGTCTCATTAAGATAAAAGAAAGATCATTATTTTTATAGGAATTTTTAAAAGTGTTTTATTCAGAGATCAGCTGAGATCTAAAGAATCGGATGACACATTTCAAGTACATATAAATGTAAAACAACTACGAGACGATGTCATTAGAATGAAAGATTGTGTGTTTCATGCATTTGTCAGTCTTCTGTGTAGTAACTGGCTTATGAGGCACAATACTTTGTGATGGAGATGAATTACTTGTAGACTATTGACGATAACAACTGATTGGGATCGGGTGTCGGATGAGCATAGAGTCACAAGAATCAGCTTCCTAGAATTGGCACATTGTGTGTTGATAGCAGTAGACAAAATTACACCTGGTACATCCATAAGACATATATTATAGCACCAAGTCATTCCTGTAGTCTGTTGTTACATTCTCCCAGTGAAACTCACACCAATGTACGCACCAGTTATGTAGTCAGTTGTAGGGCACTTTACAGGGACTGTGCAAGATGTACTATCTGTTGCTGGACCAGGAAGTTCAAGCCAGACTTCCTGGTCAGATTATTAATGTGTTGAAGTGCTCAGCAGTTGGTCATCTTTTTGAACAAATTGTACAGTTAAGGCCTTAATTCTTAAAAGTGTATCCAAAGTCATCTGAATCATTTTGAAACATTCATTGCTGTCAGGCAGGATTTTAGTTTAAATCTGATTTTGTTCAGTGGATGCAAATACATATTGGTAGAAGTTACTATCCCATGAGCTAAATCTATCCCGACTATGAATTTGCACTTAATGTTGTGATGATGTGTATGTTAATGTAGCCAACTGGAGACTTTGTTGTATGTCTTATGTATAGTTGACTGTTGAGCATCATGTTGTTTTATCACACCAGTCTGGAATACGGATCTATTGTCTGACTATGAAACTGATCTGGACACTGAAGCATGCAATCTTGCACAGCCCCTGCTGTCCCATGTGCCACATGTACCTCAGTCTTGGGCTACATAATTAGCCATGTGTTTCATTCCTTGTCAACCAAATACACTTATTTACCTAACTCTGTTCTCAGACATGGGTCAGGTTGAGCCAGCCAACCAATGTGGAATATTCGATATCAGTTCATATTGTGTTTGTGAAATTTTATGACAAGTTTGTTGTTTTGCTGGCCCCATGTTTAGGGTTGAAGTCAGGTAGGAACAGATGTGACCACCTCTCCACAGTCTAAAACAATCATTGTTTAAATTGGTACATTTTGAAATTCTATGGCTTGGCCATTATTTGACCCTTGTAAAGGGAGGTAATTCATAAAGTTTGAAAGCTGCCTGTCAGAAGCACTTTTGTATTTATCTGTTGCACTTTCAGTTTATCATAACTACTCATATGAAGGTATCATGATGAGGAACAGCAGCTGGTTTGGGACTGTGGAGAAGTGCAGTTAGAGTATGTTTATTACTTTATGCCTTCATCTCTTGTTGGTTTGCACACTACAATGTATGTCCGGACTTGTGACTTCTTGGTGCAATATTTACTTGCAATGTTCCTGTCATTTACACTTGTGTTCCTAACCGTCAGTGTCAAGGTAAAATCTGAGAATAGAACTGCTGATAGCAATAGGGAGAACATCGAATACACACACTTTAAAAACTTTACTTATTGATTTCTTTATTAAGCCTCTTTGATCTTGCTGAAACAGCTGAGACTGTTGAAAGTAAACAACTTTGATTATTGACATTCATTTTTTCCAAATTCAATCACTTTCATTTTTGAGATAAATGTGTCCTAAAACAGTATGTATAAGTTATTAGAGTGACATTTCTTGTCATTATTTTTCTAAATTATGCTTTGTATTGGTGCAGAATACTGATTGTTTATGATGGCAGGGATCGCTGCTCTTATTCACCTGTTAAGATAACAAAAGAGAGTGATTTTATAATCTATTTGTTGTAAGTATGCTATCACCTTGATCATCATGCAGTTACTTCAGTTTTAGCAACTCACTGTTTTAATGGTTCAACATAGCACGCAAGTGTTTGGATACTTCTTGAACATACATTCAAACAAAAAACTACAAAAACTGACCCTCATTCAGAACTTGTATGATACTGGCACATTAGCTGACTGGTCTGCCACATCTTGCTGAAGAAGCAGAACATTTTATCAAAATATGTCAATTTACCTTCACCACCAGAGTAATTTTATGTTGATCAAGTGATTCATATTTACACTTGTTGAAAATGTTATTATATTGAAGTCAGTTTGTTACTTTATTGATATATTTTAGATTTACCCATTAGAATCATTTCAAAAGAGCGTTGGCTGTTATGAAATTCTGACAAATTTTGTTTGACAAAGAGAACGACTTTCAGAAGTATTTTTGATGCATTTAGTAGTGAGTAAATGATACGTTCATCATGCTACATCAGCTCTTCCAGTAATAGACAACGTTAAATAACAGAGTTGCTCAATTATCAAAATACAAGCTTAATTTTCCTATGCTGCCAATTTGTGGAGGATGTTCGGATATTTCTGCAGTTTGGTCGATACAAGATAATTGCAGGAATTTTTTGTGAGACCAAAATTCAACAGTCACAATTACTAGTGCATGGTATCATTGAAATGAACATCAATTTGTAAGCAAACAGTGAGTGAGTTAAACTTTAACCTTGCATCGGCAGTATCTCCGCCATATAGCAAGTATATATTTAGTTTATACTTGAAAACCGTTTATGGGACAAATCTTTTCAACTGAGGCAGAATAAGTCTGCCTTGTTTATGACACACAAAATGATAGGTTCCATTTTTGAGTTCTTTGTGAATATTCTACTGGGCTACAGTGAATGTTAGAGACGGGCAACATGTTGAATACAAATTTGAAAGTCCGCCATATGATCATACAACTAGTTGTAACATGACACGATAAAAGAATTAATAGTATTGTTACACATACTGTGTGTAGTTATCAAACCAGTCATTGGGATGAAATTGTTAAACTGGTTAACAAGAATCAGCAAGTTCTACAAGTATAAAAGAGGAGTTCTGTACGTGGTGAGACTGGTCAGATCTGATAACATGCACTTTATTGAGCTGTTGTAGGAACTGACCCAGTACAACACACACCAGAGGTACTCCTGAGTAGGTGTCATCTGCAGGTGACATTTTCTAGATAATCACAGCGTATACAGTAAATTACAAGACATTCATTCTGCATGATGTTACGGAAATTGTACAGACAGAGCACAGGGTGGTGATCAGGGAATATACAAAGGTATTAATAATTTCTTACACCCTTTCTTAGATGGGTTCAAAATGTGCCACTTCTGAAGAGAAAAAGGCGGCGTGAAAAATATTATTTTCAAGTAGATAGGGTCTATCAGTTTGTGCTGTCTATGAGACTTTCAGAGCAGTTGTTACAATGGGCAAGATCACAATTAAATATGAAGAGGGGTATCAGACTGGTGTGTGCCCAATGTCTTTACTCACATGTGGCAAGAAATATCTAGACTCTTGGGGGATTTAGTGACATCCATATGTGAGAGGCTAAGTAATGTACCGTGCAGGTTCATTAAATCATTATGATCTGATTGTTGATGACAGTGAAAGATTTTATGAGAAAATATGTCTTGATATGTAGCTTTGATGCGACCCTTGGATGTGATCTCGAATTGCAGATACATGGAACCTAAGTGTCCTGGGTTGTAAGGGAGTACAGTGTACTTGGTTACTGAACACAAGTGAAAACAAAAGATTGTGATAGTTTCACTTGATTGTGACGTTCCTTCTGTACAGTGATGTGAACCAGTGTATTGAGAGTAGCTGGTATTCCAAGTCTGGCAGTCAAGCTCACACCCTTGGGTACTGTATTGTAGCATGAGATCTCATGTACAGATAGTCTCTCTGTCCCTCCTCCCTCCCTCCCACTGTACATAGAACTAATTTCTCTCTCCCTCAACCCTACCACCTGTGTGATGATTGCCAGTGGTCCATTACTTGTGTCCTGTCGTCGCTGACAACCTCCATACTTTTGATATGTTTTCTTATCCTAGCATTGTGTGACTGCATTGTGATGTAACGGTATGTTGAACACCAGGCGCCTCCTTCCTCACCAGGGTTACAAGCCATGTTGCCAGCCAACCATGCAAGCCATTCCCATAGGCTTTTAGTGTAGTCATTTGCAGCCATGTTCATCTGGTAATGATAATTTATCACAATTCTTGTCGAGGCATAATCTCCGCTCCAGGAAGGGTTTGAAGTTGCTAAGCAGAACTTTATTTTAGAAAGGACAGATGTAAAGGAGTCCATTGTCTCAACAGAGACCATAGTATATGGTCTCTGGTCTCAACTTTCAAAAACTCACATTAATTTGGTATGGTAAGTTTGTTGCAAAGGTATTAACTCGAAAATATCAAGCTTATCTGTATTTCATCCAGGTTTCTACACTTTGAGTACACATTCTATCCTGTTCGTGTTAGGTCCAATGTTCATACCATGTCTGCAGTTGTCTGTTGAGTTGCCCTCGCATACCGGTGGTTTACATATAGAAGTATTGTCCATGTTCACCTACTATGCACATAGTGTAGTTGGTTGTAGTTAACCCTTTCAGTGAGAGACACTCTAACACAGTGAGTTTGTCGTTGTTATTTGGGATCTGTCATTGCTAGAGTTAAGTGTACCTGTGAGTGAAGCATCGTGATGGGATAAGAATGACTCTCTGGTTTGATCAGAGTTCATTTTATGAATTAGTATTAAATGACACAACCTCTTGACAATTTCTTACATGCAAGTGTCAGAAGGCTAGATTGCTGTTAGTCCTGTGACTCCACAGAGATGGACAATCACACTCAGAGGTTACCTGTGCCAAAATTGTCAGAAAGTGCTACCTAGTTCTTAGTTGTTGTTCTTGCTGTGTCCAAGTTGTCTGCTTACACTTGTACAAGATATTGTGTCCATTATTGTTGTTGTTTGTAGCTGTTGTTAGGGAGGAATTAGAGTCCTTGTTGACACTCGAGGCAGACACTATTGTGTGAACATGAGTATGAATCTTGTGACTCAATCTACCAAGAGGTGAAGCTGGTTGAGAACTCTCTTTCAGTACCTGTTGATGTAGGCAGACAGAAAGGGAAGGATATTATCTGGTCAGAGGTATCAGCGAGAATACACAAATCTATTGATAACCTATTCACCAGTAAATTATTTATTTAAAAAAACAAGTGTGACATTAAAGCCTATGTTGTGGTCCAAGGGTATTGTTCTTTTAATTTTCTGGTTAATACAAACTTTCACTTTGTGAGGAGGTTACCAATAGATCATCAGTTTCTACTTGCATGACCTCTGGGTGTTGTCACAGAGAATCTGTGTATGTTAGAGACCAGTTAGGATTGTCCCTACCCATGCTGTTTTTCAGCTACTAGTTTTGCCTAGTTCCAATGGTGGCTGTGACCCTGGTGGGAGGGCGTGTGCTATAGTTCAGCTATTCTACAGTTGAGTCTGGGTTATCTATTTCATGTTGTATTGCGTTGACTCAGTATTGTCAGCCCACTCTGGAACTCCCATGCTCTAGTAAAATTTATTTGCCTGTTGATTCTGTGTTTGTTATTTATTTATGAAGTCATGAAAATGAATGCTTTGATGTGACAAGCAACATGGACTAATTGTTGTTGATTGTAAGTTTAGCATTAGATGTACATTGATTGTTCACACAGAAGACTTGGGTTCAATTCCCCACTTGAGTAAAGTGTGTGAAGACATTTCCTGGTGCCTCCCTTGTGGTGTTGCTGAAGTATTGCTAATGGCATGTATTTACAGTGGAAAAAATCTACCTGTACATAGGCTCTTCGGAAGAGGTGTTTGGGGTTGGATGTACTTTGGTCAGACTGACAACAGTAGTTCGCTCACTCACATGAGATAGTAACTTGTTCTTGTACTGCTAAATGGCTCCCAGACTTTTCTGATGAGGTGTGGAATAAGGCTGCATTGGACTCTGCTCATATCAATCTTGGTTTGTCTGGTAAAAATTAGATGTAGGTGATGTAGCTTAAATATTGCTGACTGGAGAGAAAAACAAAAAGACACACTCACATTTTATACACCTTTAAGGTGGACTGTGAAAACAGATGTTATGTAAAACACAACTCTTTTTAATCAAAAAGAAGGCGCTAAAAAAATGGGATGGGTATCGTGTATTGACCTGTGTGGTTTCCTTGGTCACTTGGGGCAAGGTGGCGGAGTCATCATGCGCCACAGTCCGGTATGCAGAGTTTCGTCCCTTAGGCGTGCCAAACACCTCATTGTGAGTTCTATCCCCATAATGTTTCTTTGCTGTGAGCAGCAGTGCTCATTGGTTTCACCATAATGTGAAACCTGAATCACTTCGGGCCTTTTTCCAACATCAAGCCGACAGGCTGTAATACATATCTGTTCAAAGCGCCCTTATACCCAGTCCCCCTGTGTATTCCTATTTAGGGGCGACTTAATGGATGGGATGGTCAGGTTCGGTAATTTTGTTGATGGCACCTCAACGTACTCAGACGGCGTGATCATTTCTCACAATATCAATCACTGGATTTACAGACCGCAGTCAACAATTATTGCTGAGTGCAGCGTTAAAAAACAAACATTGTAGAGGTAATTACTTGAGTGTGTTTTGAGATGGTAAATCTCCTGGGAATAAACATTGCATTTAGCGAACCTCACCATTCCAAAACACAGGCGATGGTTGAAGAGGAGGGACATACACGTGTTATGGGTTATTAATTACGAATGTAAATACACATGGAAGTGCTTGTTTACGCAGCACTATTCCGTCTATATGGCGGCAGCCTATGAATAATCGAGTCTAGACAATCCATTTATTGACATCATAAGCATCGACTCTACGCAATTGGGACACGATGACATCAGACCGAACAACTCTCAAACATACGGTCTCCAAATATCCAATCTAACGTCAAGATTAATTTATCTCAAACCAAATTCAAACTTTTTATCATACCTCGATGTCAGAATGATGAGATCTGATTGGTCCACGTGATCTTCATCAAATACTGCGTAACCCGCTTTGGAGGTTAATACATTTCTCAGCGGGGGAATAAATCTCTTATACCCCGCCACGAGCAATACAGGCTGCACGTGAATTTCTGAGAAGCAGAGACAATCGCCTAGGTCCTCCATTCCCAGTCACTTGACATAGTAGAAGTTCACCCTCAGCTCAATCGAACAACTGTTTTCAATCAATGTTGAATTTGTGTTAATTCTTTTACGATGTCACAATTAAACATGTCGGTATGAAAAAATCGTAGCAAGATCACTCGGGCCTCCGGCTCATGGTATAAAACGTAACGCGGGAAGCATAAAACCCCATGTACCCCTCGTGATCCTGCTACAACTTATGATGTGGAAAACAAATTTGTAGGAAAATAATCTTGAGCAGTGATGCACATGAGACTCTTTGGGCTCTTGAATACAGAGTTAAATAACAGTTGAATGAGGTGTGATATTTTCGACTCCAGGAACAACTTTTCTCAGGTGGAAAAGTCACAAAAATCGGAAGGGGTTTCAGAACTCACTTGTCACAAAAGGCAAAATAGAAGTTGAGTGGAATAGGGTAATTGTGGGATCACTGGCCCAACCAACTCGCCAAGTCAGATCTAATAAATCTTACAAAATCAGTGCAAGAACAGATATAATTGTCAGCAATTAACTGATATATTTTCTGCATACTAATATTTTGCTTCCACAAATATTTAGTTGTATTGTCATATCCATTTCCTTATGCCACAGTGAGTGTGAGTGTGTTATGCCGATTTTCGTACTATTCACTCAATATTACCGCGGGGGACACACCAAGTATGGGGGAAATCGAACAAGGGCGTGTGACGAGCGATCGCTTTACCCACAAGGCTATCACCAGTGTAAAAAAACATTAAACATTTTAACCTATGTGTGTGCGTGCGTGCCAATCATATTCTTGTTTATGATATTGTGTTTTAAGCACATACAACAAAACGCATCTAATTTTCGTTAAAGAGTTAACCTGTTCTGTTCCAATTATTGTCCTTTATTGTTTAAGAAAAAAAATCAAATTCAAAATTGTTAATCAAAATCGTGCCGAGAATTTTTGGTGTGTTTTATACTCAAGCAGTGGCGACAAGTATGGTTATAGCCATTCGCATGAGCTGTATGGCAGCTCAATGAAAGAAAAATATTAGGTATGGTTTTCATGACAAGCGTTCTTCCACAGGAAGAAGATTGGTCAAACTGTTAAGAATAAATTTATGGAATCACAGGCAGCAGTACTCGGTGCACCGTAGTAGGGCAAATGAACTTCCATAATTCAACACCTGGTTTCATCACAATGTGATAGTGATTCATAAACACATGCTCATGATATAGTCCGAATCGTACAATTTACTCTTTTCTTATTTTTTCGGTTTCCTATGAATATGGAAATGGGCCTCTCGCTTTTATTACACATGTAGTTTTACTCAATACATAATATATGTGGGTACTTTTATTACATAAAGGTGAAAATCACTTGTAATTATAGACTCGAGCAGTTTCAGTTGTATAATGATAACACGTACCTAATGTCTCCATAACCCTGATTAAGTATTATAAAACACACAAAATGGAACAAATTTGCTCCAGTGGAGTGATAAAAACGAGACCAGAGGTGTGAGTAGGTTTGGAAAACATCAGGCTAGAGCAAAAAAGAACATACCTGGGATTTGTTTTCTTTTTTTAATTCATGTTGGAAATTGCAAGTACAGAGGTATCCACGTGTGTGCGTTGTGTGGTGAGGGTAAATCAAGAACTGCCAGACTGATATATAAATAATAAACTCCGTGTCAGGAAAGATTGGGGCATCTGAGATGCTTTTGTGTTTTTTTCAGTCAACGCCTCCATTCGTCACCACTCGCCCTTTTCCGTAACCTGCAAGAAGACTTGTCCCCCTATCGATGAATGTTATGTGCAAATATACCACAAACCAACCAGAATGCCCATAGGAAAGGTCAAAGTATCCATCAGGAATATTTTTTTTATTTTACATATGTCTTGCATCTAAAAAAATACCCAAGATACTGTTGAGTGTCTTCAATCATACTGTATAATACTGTAAGTCCCGATGTGTCCCTAATGGCATTTGGAACGTACATGATATATGAGGCAAAATACGTGAATCATGACGCAACGAGTTGACAATTCTTTTAGCAATGCCCGTTTGCGCTTAGACGGAACCCAGTCGCAAAAATGGCCACGAGAGGGGCACGAGTCGCTATTCGGCTTGTTCCGGAATAACACGAGTTAGTCACGAATGGCAAATAGTAAACACGATTTAAAGTTACCTCCCTTTGACCATCAACGGCTCAGCTCCTCAAATCCAATGCCTTATCGATGTAGCTAGTCTGTCTTATAAACAGGCCCTGATACAAATATATCAAATACAGCCCATGCAAGTCTAAAATGTTTGGCAAGTCTAGATTACTGCAGTATCAGTATCTGAAAAGAAAGAGTCTACGGGCTCCCTTTTATTATATTTTATTAATGTAACAGGATATTGTATATATAGTTTTTAGGAATATAGTTTTAGCTCTTTTCATTTCAAGTAGTTGTATACATCTTCATTAGTTGTAGTACAAAATGTATATTCAATTTTATTGAAGGGTGGACAGGTTAGTCTATTCCTGTCCCTTTGTCACCAACTCTCTAGCTTGTCAATACAATAGCTTTCAGCTTCCTAGCTGATTAACATTATCTAACAACAGCTTTAATTTCCTCCCTAACATTTGCACACTTTTTATTGACTCTGCTTATAACTCTGCCCAGACAGGACATGGACTACATATAGTTCAGGAATGCCATAATCCTATATGATGTGGGTTTATAGACACACCCCGGTGTCACCCACAGGGGGGATTAATCAATTGATCAATTGAAGTGATTGATAATGGAATAAATGTCACCTCAACAAACACAACCGCAGCTTGTCATTTTTCATAATGAACCACCCCTGCTACATTAAGATAATTGAAGAACTGGTTATTTTCTGTACGATATGTTCATTTCAGAGACTAGATGTTAGTCTACGATGTAGTATACAGGTAACAGAATAAGCCCGGAGACCCGAATGAAACATGAAACTGAAAACGTCAGTGCGCGATCCCATTCGTGTCCAACTCGTGTTATTCCGGGACAAGCCGAATAGCGACTCGTGCCCCTCTCATAGCCATTTTTGTGACCGGGTTCCGTCTTAGCGCAAACGGGCATACCTAAAACAATTGTCAACTCGTTGCGTAATGGTTCACATATTATTTCCCCATGTATTATATATATTTCAGATGCAATTTAAAGCACATTGGGACGTGCGGAATTATACAGTATGACTGAACATATTTAACTGTGTCTTGTGTATATTTTTAGATGCAAGACATGTAAAATCAAAAATTATTTCTGAGGGATTCTTTGATGAAGAACTTGAAATCATACGCGCATTCTGACTGGTTTGTCGTATTTTCGCACATAACATTCATCGATAGGGGGACGAGTCTTCTTGCAGGTTACGGAAAGGGGCGAGTGGTGACGAATGTGCGCGATCCATGAAACCATATCTGTGTCCACTCAGCAAACAAAACTACTACTACTACTACTACTACTACTACTACTACTACTACTACTACTAAACACTAAGACAAGTTCATTGACTTGTACTACTACTACTAAATATATGACAGATGCAGTTAATAAAGTATGTAATTCATGTCTTCAGTGTACAATAATGATGGAATTTATTCAGTCATGTTCACAAATATGCAAATATAGAAAGTCAGCTAGGTTGGTATTACATTTCAGTGCTTACAAACGCCCATGTCTATCAGCGATGAGTCAGAACTGACGATCGGGAGCCTGTACAAATTACTAGGATAACTGTGATCGTTATCAAAATAATAGTCTAAGGTCACCCTTCAGTAAAAATATTAAAACATTTTTGGACAATTAGTCGCGCTTAGGATAAGTTACATTTTGCTTGTTTTTGTAAGAGCGACAAGGAGACAATTTGCTGTTATATCAATCCGAAATAACGGTGTGTAAAATGTCGATACCACAGCGCGACCGATATTCTACATTCGGAACTGCCCGTTTAGGTTCATTTTGGAGATACAGAATTTAGAAATGCTGACAGTTCATCTGACGTGACGTATGGGGAATTTGTCAGATCATGACAGTGAGGGGTATCAGACATGAGAAGGATCTGACCTTGGTGAGATTGCTACAATCGACTATGTTAACAAGAAGTACAAAACAAATCAGGGTCAGTTTCCATTTTGCATTACACAGACACAGGACATTTACAATTACAGTAAAACAGAACACTAATTGATACGACCTTACGGTGAGAGGGAAGTGTACACCCTGAAACACTCTCTAACATTACTTTAACATTATACTCAAGTTTCGTAAGTTTGATATAAGCACGTGTTAAAATAAATATAAGTTGTATTGATATTTGAATAAAGAGAAAGTATTATCCTGTAGGCGAGTGGTCTCTGTATGAGATATATAGCTTGAATGATAGACAATTATTTACAGGTTCATGCAGTGAAACAGTGAGAGACACCCAAACGCATTATGAGGACCCGTACTAAGTTAAGCTCACAAAATGACCCTTTGCCCACCGTGTCGGAAACCATTAACTTCAATGTTTATTTTACGCGATCGATTTCTTGTGTTCTGTTTTCACTTACGTACTTACTTACTGTCTACCGTTTAAAAAATAGGAATATGTGATATTGCTATACTAGGAGCTTCAATCCAGGTTCTTTGTATAAAATTGTTATCCAATCTACAGTACATTAATGTCACCGAGGGCTGAGTAGAGTGAAGCGACCGAAGACTTGTTTACTCCGTGACAAGGCAAGTGCACACATAACAATTAACGATACATCAAACCTAAATGTAGAGATCGCACCCTGCTCTGCCCCAAAACAGGCACTGTACACTCCTAAATTATGATATACCTTTTGGAATATGTTACACCTGAGGTGCTGAAAGGTTTAGCTTGTGTGAAAGCCAGCGTTGTGGTGTGTTATACGCTCTGAATTAAAGCGACAATTGACTTCCAATAGGCTCGCTGATAATGTGGCCAAATCAACAAGCCATGAACGCGTGGTATTGTACATGTCAACAGTCACCATTTAGAAACAGATTCAAAGACGGGCTTGTCCAGAATGAATGCTGCTATACAAAGTCTCACTGACACGGAGGGTAAGCGGCAGTTTTCAGATTCTCTCTATGGTGGTATTGAGGAGCATTACAACGTCAGATAGCTGTGAGCCGGGGCTGTCAACGATAGAGATGACCTTATGAACAGACAAACTTTCACCTCGGAGGATGTGGGGTGAACTTGAAGATCACCACCTTGATGACTCGTGGGGCGTCAATTAACCTCGCAGACTCATCGCGACACTGCTATGTATACTTCTAGTGCTCCGTAGAAGGACTTTACCGTGATAGGAGCTGGAAATCCTTCATACAAGAGTGGAGTATTCGAAGTGTGAGGTCCATTTGCCGTTTTCATGAAACTGTAGAAGTGTTACTATTGGAGAGGACGAGGTAGACTTGGATTGAAGGCACCTTGACGTGTAGTGACAGACCATGGGTCGGCCCTCTGTTCTTCTCTAGCATAACACACGTCACGCCTGTACGTCACGTAGCTTGCCCCGACCTTGATATAAGATCAACTGTCGCATTATACGCCCGTTTTATCTATAGAGAGAAACTACTGTCTGACACTTAAAACAAGCTGGCCCATTCTTTTTGTTTTGTTTTCACATTTAAAGCCGATACACCGCATGCATTGCAAATTTAGAGTTCAGTTTGGCACTTATCACAGACATGTCGTGGGATTTTAATCGACATCATGCGGCCAAGAAGGTTCTGGCCAAGCACATGGATGACCTGGACCGGAAGCAGGCCAGCATCTGTAACCGACGAGACGAGAGTCTTCGAGACTTGCAACGTGAGCTGATCAGTCTCCAGTCTGTGTCCACGCCAGATCTCGGGAAAGGTGAGGTTTGAGAGAGAGAGAGAGAGAGAGAGAGAGAGAGAGAGAGAGAGAGAGAGAGAGAGAGAGAGAGAGAGAGCTTATTCTGAATTTCTCGTTAATGGTCGTTTCGTTCCCAAGTTTCGTTTTTTATACACTTACTTGAAAAGGCCCCGATTTCCCTCTTTACATCAGTTATATGTATGGCCACTTGACACAGAGATCAGAGTTATTTTCATCCTAAAAACACGTTTAACGTAATTGTTTCTACTGAAAAATACTTTAGAGCAAGGTGAGGTGAAAAAGTGTCCAAAATGATTGTACTTATATAGCGACGTGAATGCAGGGTACGGACATCGAGCCGACCAAACCTTGTTTCATCCCCTTTAAATGCCGAGCGCCGGACAGTGTAACAAGTACCATTTTTTCACGTCTTTTGGTATGACGCGGCCGGGGATCGAACCACCTTCCGCTGTCCGGACAGACACTCTATCCACTAGACCAAACAGGCGGCCAGAGCATGGTCCAATCTGATGGGATAATGATCCTTCATAACCAGGGATACGTTATTCAGTGGTCCGATCAACCTGTGTCGGTGTCATATGACAGGTCAGTGACTTGTTGTTCAGGAATGTCACACTGAGTGTCTACGCACCAACAATACAAGCATGACGCATGTCCGTCGCAGACACCCATAGTCAACCATAAAGGCGCACTCTAATATAGCCTGACGATCAATGTCTACAAGGAGTGAATAGTGTAACGGGCTTATAACTCTTGGTTCACAACACGGTAAAAGATATATGAACCGTCCAGTAGATCGTCACTACTTGGGATATCCGATTAGAAACGGGGTAGAATAGGTCTTCATCAACCCATGCTTGCTGTAAGAGGCGACTAACGGGATCGGGTGGTCAGAAGTCTTGGAAGTACTTAATCTAATACTGGGCAATCTACACTACACCCTGAACAATGTTTCTTGGGAGAGCCCTGTTGTCTGTAGCTGGGTGCTGGGACAGTCTATCAAATACTACAATTATATCATAGTGAGGGCGTGAATATGGTTTTACGCCTCTTTTAGCAATATTCCAGCAATATCACGGCTGGTGACACCAGAAATGTGCTTCACGCATTGTACCCATGTCGGGAATCGAATCCGGGTTTTCGGCGTGACGAGCGAACGCGTTAACCACTAGGCTACCCGACCTTCCCCAATTATATCATAATGCTGGGACAGTCTGTTATATACTCCATTTATATCATTATGATATAATTGTAGTATTTGATAGACTGCCCCAGTATTAAATGGTCCACTGTTTTTCTTACAACACAGATTACCCTGATATACTCTGTACAGGGTCTTTAAATCAACAGCTTTCGTGTCCTTGTTCCCTACGACTACCGACAGCCTCCGTGGTCTAGTGGTAGAGCGTCCGCCCGGAGAGCGGAAGGTCCGGGGTTCGATCCCCGACCGCGTCATACCAAAAGACGTTAAAAGATGGTACTTGTTGTTACCCTGTCTGGCGCTCGGCATTAAGGGGCTAAAACAAGGACTTATCGGCTCGGAGTCAGTATACTGCGTCTGAGTGGGGTATTCATGTTAAACTGCGGCATAGTATCTCAGTGAGCTAGCACCATAAATCGGCATCAGTCCGGACTAGTACAAGCAGCCACACAAACACACACACGTACATGCAAGTCGCTGTATAAGTGCAATAATCTTGGACGCGACGTTAAACCCCATTTTACCTCACCTCACCTCACCTTTAAATCAACAGCTTTCGTGTCCTTGTTCCCTACGACTACCCGTTCCCCACCTTTTAACATATCATAAACACTAATTTGGAATGCAAGTCGCTATATAAGTGCAAAAATCTTGAGCACGACGTTAAAACCAAATTCACCCCACCCAGACACAATCTGTGAAGTCTTTGCACACTGAGAGAGGCCAACAGACCATGTCCCTCTTTCACAAACATGCACTGGTGTCTTTCATTTCGCAGACAGTTCCTACCATGATCCACGATTGTTATCTCTGGTACACTGTAAAATATGTTTAGAATGTAAGCATATACAAAACATGATTAGATCTAAACATGTTTAAGAATGTGTTTAAATCCTGAACAGAATACACACGTTTAGGGTCTAAACACATGAAATAAGCTATTAAGAATTAAGTTAAAATGAGTTAAATTTTGTGTCATGATACTTGAAAGAAATACATTTATGTATTTGCGAAACAAAAACATGAGTTTTAAGTAAAGGAACATATTCTCGCCCATGGGCCCACACATGGGCATACCCATGGGCAGGCCCATGGGCGACATAATGTAAATATTGAGTTTTTGAACAATTTTTTTCATTTTTTCTACCTTGGTATGTTCTCATGAAAACAGCATGTTTAATTTTGTAAATACCTTTGACCGAGACTGGATAAAGACCGTAGAGTTTCTGGACTATTGGGTTTCCAGAATTAAGATGGGACGTGTTCTCACAGCTTAAACACCGCCTTAACACAACATCCCCATGATCTAAACATTTTAAACATGTTCACAACAAAGTGCACACCATTGTGTATTATCCCCTGAACATGTTTAGATGTTAACATAACAAAGTGAAATGAACACAGATCTAACGTTGCCTCGACATGTTCCTTATGAATGAGAGGCAGTCTGGTCTGCCATGTCTCTCTGCAGCTGTGCAAACCTCACGTCGAGGCCAAATATTCAGGTTTTCACTGATCTTGGGCTTAAATCTCAGAATCGCCCGATTATGACCCTTGGTTTGTCAGCACCATACCCATGCTCGCTCGTGGGTGTCGCCAAAGTGGTAAACGTCTAACACCTGCATCACTTCGGGCTTCCCTCCTACATGAAAGTTGACACGCCGTGATATAACTGTTAAAAGACTGTTAAAATCAGCGTTAAACCCAACTCACTCACTCAGTAATCTGACACTATGGCTACAATATTCACCTTGGACAATGTAAATATCACGAAGCGTTTCTGACATGAGTCAGTATATGAACACTAAACTTTGTCGACCTCTAGGTTTACTGTAACATTAATGAGTGGAGCCATGCAGGTGCGCGTGATTAAAGAGGTGATCCGGAATAAATACAAGATTACTGTCCGACCCACTGGTATTCCGTTATATACAAATAAATACATCTACATTCAACCCTCATCACTTTGTTACACGCATGATCTCGTCCAGTAAATAAATCATCCTTGACGCTTGACTATCTGTTCGCTGTTGTAGTTCATGTGAACTAGGAAAAACACGTACATGTATTAACGTCATTTCAAAATAATAGAATTGATCAATTGGTGTGAAGGATGAGGATTAATAGATTAACCGCAACTGACCTGATTAAGACTATGAGAGTGAGATTATATGGTTGTGTGGATTAGAGAGGATATAGCATTGGGGGCACGTGCGCATTCTAAACGCTACTGAAGTAGTATCAACACATACCCCAGCTGAGTGGCACTCTTGTCAAACGTAGGTATACACTTTACTATGCAAACAGGAATAATTTTGCGTATTTATTTTACGTTGTCGCTGAATTAAAGGCATGAAGTCGGTTTGTGCTTAATCGAATTTATGCGGCCTGTAAGAAACTGATATATTTTTTAATCTCCACCTCAGAAGTTTAAACGTAATTAAACAGGTTTTTTGAGTTGTTTAAAACCAAGGTTGCGGTTCCGATTCTGAGCTGACCCTCCTAGATGCGGTATATGGCTTTTCTACATTTTAGAGGAGCAACGATTGTGTTGACAGACCAGTAAAAGAAATCATCGCTGTCTCAGGCGTCATCAATGTAACATTCGATGTAAAGCGTAAAACGTAAAACGTAAATACACTGCCGGGCAAAAGAAAGTATAACAAACGTTACCAAAAAGTCACTAGGCTGGCAACAGTCGCCGAGACACTCCAAACGTAAGGTCCAAAACCACGACTGGGATAGCCTTATTAAATACATCACCATCGAATAAACAATTTTTGTTTGTTCCTTTTGTATCCACCATGAAACATGCGTGTATACTTTCTTTTGCCCTGCAGTTTACACGACGTTTTACTTTCCTGGTTTGTTTGTGTGTCGCTTTCCTGTCAGGAGGGTCCTGATGGGTTTTAATGCTTAACGTAAAACACACTTCAAACACTATCGTAAGCGTAAAATTCATTTTTTTATATCGTAAATGCTTATCGTAAAATGCCAAAAAATAACTGCTTAACGTAAATAAATAATTTACTGCTTATCGTAAAATGATTAAAATGGTCAAAAACAGTCTGTCTTCAAGACCCAAAATGCTTTGCCACAGAAAGCAGGCTGCGCAACTGATGCAGGGGACCAGTCTAGAATGTTGAGCGATTTGAGATTTTACCAGGTATTACAAATATGAATTGTCAGGATGAAACGAAAGCAGAATTAAAAGTCCCATGTCCCTCCAGGGCCGATTTAGGAATTTTTCGCGACGATTTTATTGAAAAAGAAGAAAAATTACTGCTTAATGAAAAAGTACCCTAAATTTTACTGCTTACTGCTTATGGGACCCACCCATCAGGACCCTCTGCTAGGGGTTCTCACATTGAAGCCAAATGCAGTATTGATAGTGTAACGGGAATGGACAGGCTCTGTCTTACTGTAGGTATGTCTTCATACAAATATAATGTGCGTTGGATGCTTTTATTATATCCTTATTTTTTGAATGAAACAGATGTTTCTTCTTTATGTAATACTATTAGTTTAGTTGAAATGTCATCCCAAACCTTCATCCTAATTATTTGCAGGTTTGGGGAGTCCTCGAACCTACAAAAAGAGTCAGCATAACTTTAATAAAGATTCTTCAAAATACTTGATCCTCCCTCCGGCGGGTAGGGCCAACGTTAGCAGAACCCCTCCCTACACCCAGGAGCCCGACGCCAGCTTCCTGCCCCTCGCCTCGCGCCTTCTGAACAGACGGCAGTCAGAGCCAGTGGCGGTCAGCACACAGGAGGCGAGCGACCTTCAGCAGCTCATGAGAAAAGCCCTGAATCTATCTGAGGAGAGACCAGACGAGAGCTGGAACAGAGTCTTGGAGTCTACGTTACCTGGTGCAGAAAATACCGGGGCAAATAGTCGGCTGACCAAACGGCGAGGAACCATAGCTCTAACTGAAGGTATCCACATGATGACCTCGAAGAACAAGAGTCATTTGCATACAGACAGTTCCATGGCGGAAGGCTCAAAACTGAACAAGGTTCGACCTAGGCGGGGGTCTCTGCCTGTAAACTCTCTTAGCCTGAATGTGATTCACGAACCATCTAGAGGTGCGTCTGCTCGATCAAGGAAAGGTACAGACACTAATACACAGGCCAAACGTACATTCGGTAAAAAGACAAAACGCGGAAGTCATTCTAAATCTGCCAAGTCGTTCAAGGAGCAGCGTGGCGTGAGTGTGATGTTTTACAATGAGGAAACGGGCGAGGAGTCCATTCCAGCACCCCTGCCGGTCATCCCCGGTTTGAAAGAAGACGGAGACGGCAGACCGGAAGCAGATGAGACCGGAAGTGTGGATGACAACGATGAGAAGGAGGGTATGTGGGATGAGGTGGCCAAGTGCAGGTACATCAGAGGATACGACCCACCCGAGATGAGGATTCCTGATGAAGACTCGGCCACGTATGTGTTTGGGAGAAGCTACAACGACGTGTTTCATGCCCAGGATCTCCAGCCACAGTAAGACACGAACCAATGTTTACTGACGCCTAAATGTGTTGACCTCACACGTCCACGCGTCGACCACACTCACCTATATATGTCGACCTCACATGTATAGGCGTACAGAATAAGAAAATTAGTTCCATACGTATATAGCAATGTACTGTCAGGTGGCGCCCACACGACTGTGAGCCAAAGAAGGCTTTTTATCAAACACTATGTATGAAGTTAAGTTTTGTGTTTAAAATATAGTGTTTGTCTGTTGAAACACGTCAGACTGCCCTTAATGATTTGACTTCTGACCTCTGCCTTCTGCATTGAAAATAAACAAAATGTGCATTTTGGAGATTATCTACAGCGCCTTCATGTGACTTCCGGCTTAAGCGCATCAAACAGGGAGATGAACCCCAAACAACATGCTCCTTTCGCTTGATAACAGTGCAAATCGACGTCATCGCGGTGTGTAGACGGAACAGTTAACCCAATATAGGATGTACTGACACACACATATACAGGTTGACAAATACTGCGAGGTGCATCCGTGGGTGTGTGACAATATATCTGCTTGCTGTAATAGTCCAGTGTTTTCTCCACAGTGGGACTTGCCTATATGCTTCACCCGTGTGTACCCAGCTGGGTTGTGGAAGAAGTCGGTATTGCGTGCGCGCCCTCTCCCGAGAGTCTTCTACATATTCACAGCACGCAATAGCAAGATTCCGCACCTATTTTAATAGCGAGAATTACATTGTTTACTTTGAATAAATTAATAATTTAAAACGTGCAGTTGGTTTGCTACTTCGACTGAGGCGCTTTGTGCCAGTAACAACAATCGCAAACTTGTCGAGTCAGTAGTTGTATTTGACGTAGAGAATTGATCCCATGAAATAGCATGGCATATCCAAGTCCACCAATCAGAAGTTTGTTAGCTGTTCGATGCTTTTGATAGAGACGGGTTATAAGGAGAGTGTATTAGGTAAAAGGTCAGATAGAGGAAAAGGGGGGTTGTGTACATCTTCCCAAGGCAAGAGAGTTAACTGACTATGAAAGTTCAGTTTCCACCCTTGCCGAACTAGGCTGGGATTATGGAGTTAGATTTTGGCTGGACTAACGAGTCTATGTATCGCCTAATCAACATCGCGCACCGAAATCGAAATCCGGTTCGTAAACTATCATGCAGAGTTCGGTCAATTGCAGGATTTGCACAGCATCTGCACCACCAACTCGTTGTCAACAGATATTTTCCAAATCTTTTCATGTTTTATAATCAAGGTGCTCACGTGATTTGATGTACTTCGCGAAGTAAGAACCTTTCTATCACAATATAGATCTTGATGGTCGATCAGATCGTCTTGACGGCGCCACCATTTTGTTTGAAGCAAATGCATGTGAATCTGTGAGGTGGAATCTGATTGGTCCATAGAATGGACATAACTCGTGTGGCACTACGATCGAGCCCAGGAAATCCAGCCTAGTTCGGCAAGGGTGGAAACTGGACTTTTAAAGTCAGTAAACGCTCTTGCCTCGGAAAGATGGGTTGTGTAATGAGGGCTTTGACATATTCTACTTTCATAATCAGCGCCAGGTTTCACAAAATGATCTGAGAGCTACGACTGTCGTACGTTTTTTGCATATACAATATTTATAAAATAATGAACTAGAAATTAAGGAGACCAGTGAAATCGCTTCATCTGTTTCATATTTAGATCAATGCATAAAGATTCAAAGTAACAAAACATTCTCCACAAGACTGTATGAGAAGAGGGATGACTTGAACTTATCAATAGTCAACTTTCCGTTTGTGTCGAGCAGTATTCCAGGAGCTCCAGCCTTTGGTGTCTACATTTCACAGCTTTTTTGAGGTAAAATGGAGCATGCTCTCTCTACCAAGATTTCAAAGAAGGTCAAACGATTGTTGCGCAGAGGTTATTTGATAAAGGTCACAACATTCAAGGCCTCGGTAAAGCTTTCAAAACGTTTTAAGGTAGACATGTGGACAACATTTCCAAATTTGTCACATCAGTGATAGAAATGAAGTCCGATGTAATTGCTTATTTTTGCTTGTACCACATGTTCCCGCTTTTCTTTCAGGTGGACAAATAACTTGCCTTTGCATGTGTTTGTGACGGGTGTCACCGGTAGAGCATGATATGCTTACCTTTTCGCGAACACCTGGTATCACCACTATTTGATAGTGAGTCATCAACACATGCTCACGATATGGTCGAAATCGTACAATCGACTCTGCTTTAGCCGAGATTTCTTATGAATACGGAAAGGGTTTTTGTCGTTTTTAATATTCAGTTAGTCCACGATCCATGTCCCTCTTTTAACGCCGCACTGGGCATATTCAAGCTATACAGTCGGGTCTGGGCAAGACAACACAGTGATTGATAACGTGAGCAACAGCCAAGTCCATCGGGGTATGATTAAACGCATCTTCCCGAGGCAAGGGAGTTAACTGACTTTCAAAGTTCAGTTTCAAGCCTTGCTGAACTAGGCTGGAATTTCGGAGTTACATTTTGGCTGGACTAACCAGTCTATGCAATGTCCAATCAAAATCGCGTAACGACATCCGGTGCCTGGGCGCTGGTGGCGCTACGATCTAGCCGATAAATTCCAGCCTTGTTCGGCAAGGGTGGAAACTGGATTTGTAGACTCGGGAAGATGGATTAAACGCAATCAACCAAGTCACCGAGTCTGAACACCCGATCCAATAGGTCACCTCTTCAGAACAGCATTGTTTGCTGGGCACTTCACTGACGTTGTAACCTTGTTTAATTGAGGGTTGTAATACTACCAACCACCAGTTTGTCTGGTCCAAAATACACTCGGATATACTATTGATATGGTATGCACATTCGACGAGGGGATCGGGTGTACTTAAAGCCAGCATGTAACAGCAGTATGATTAATTCAGTTAGTGATATATTTTCACATTTGGGATTTGTGAGTTGTACAAGGTGTCTGCTACATGTGTTTATTTAGTGCTTTCCAGAACCAACATGGTAGGAACTGTATGGTGTTGGTGAGTCAGTGAGAATGGTTTAACGCCTCTTTCAGCAATATTCCAGCAATATCACGGCGAGAGACACCATAGGCTTCTCATCTAATGTTAGGAGTCACGACACGTTGAAAACCAATGAACGACCATCACATGCACTCAGCTTTCTCTGGCTCAAATAACCGGTTCCGATAATGGCTTATTAGCAAACGATATACTAAATACAATTCATATATGTTGCCGCAAACAAACATCTGATCAACATCCCATTATCAGCACATCGTTTGGATACTTATTCGTAGTTACAACCCATGTTTGTCTTAAGAGTGAGTGAGTGAGTGAGTGAGTTTATGCTTTATATCACATCGGCAATATTTCAGCCATATCGTGACGAGTTTGTCTTAAGACTATGATTCTAGTAAGAGGCGACTTACGGGATCGGGTGGTCTTGCTCGCTGACTTGGCCGATGCATGTCACGGTGTCCCAATTAAATCGATGCTCAGCATGCCTGGTGTCGATTCCATTATGTAATTTTGTTTCACCATCTTATGGTTTTGCTATCCAGTACAGTTAAAACGATGCCTGGTGTCGATTCCATTATGTAATAATTATGTTTCACCATCTTGTGGTTTTGCCACCCTGTTGGTTCATCCATTAACTTTGCAGGGACATAAAAGGACTGTAATGTCGATTGCAAAGATGTAATGACGAATAAACTTGACGCCGACATCAACCACTTATATACAATGTCAGTTGTAGCATTAAATTTAATAATCTTTATCCCAGCTCAATTTTTCTCCATCTGGACTGCTTCCAAAGCCGCACAGACCTTGCAAGTCTCTATCTGGCCCGCTGACAGACGATGTAGGTTTCCATCTAGACCGCTGACAGACCATGTAGGTTCCATCTAGACCGCTGACAGACCATGTAGGTTCCATCTAGACCGCTGACAGACCATGTAGGTTCCATCTAGACCGCTGACAGACCATGGAGGTTCCATCTAGACCACTGACAGACCATGGAGGTTCCATCTAGACCACTGACAGACCATGTAGGTTCCATCTAGACCGCTGACAGACCATGTAGGTTCCATCTAGACCGCTGATAGACCATGAAGGTTCCATCTAGACCGCTGACAGACGATGTAGGTTCCATCTAGACCGCTGACAGACCATGTAGGTTCCATCTTGACCACTGATAGACCATGTTGGTTTCCATCTAGACCGCTGACAGACCATGGAGGTTCCATCTTGACCACTGACAGACCATGTTGGTTTCCATCTAGACCGCTGACAGACCTTGTAGGTTCCATCTAGACCGCTGACAGACCTTGTAGGTCTCCATCTAGACCACTGACAGACCATGTAGGTTCCATCTAGACCACTGACAGACCATGTTGGTTTCCATCTAGACCGCTGACAGACCTTGTAGGTTCCGTCTAGACCGCTGACAGACCATGTAGGTCTCCATCTAGACAACTGACAGACCATGTAGGTTCCATCTAGACCGCTGACAGACCATGAAGGTTCCATCTAGACCGCTGACAGACCATGTAGGTTCCATCTTGACCGCTGATTGACCTTGTAGGTCTCCATCTAGACAACTGACAGACCATGTTGGTTTCCATCTAGACCACTGACAGACCTTGTAGGTTCCATCTAGACCGCTGACAGACCTTGTAGGTTCCATCTAGACCGCTGACAGACCTTGTAGGGCTCCATCTAGACCGCCGACAGACCATGTAGGTTCCATCTAGACCGCTGACGGGCCTTGTAGGTTCCATCTAGACAGCTGACAGACCTTGTAGGTTTCCATGTAGACCGCTGACGGACCATATAGGTCTCCATCTAGACCGCTGACAGACCATGTTGGTTTCCATCTAGACTGCTGACAGACCTTGTAGGTTCCATCTAGACCGCTGTCAGACCTTGTAGGTCTCCATCTTGACCACTGACAGACCATGTAGGTTCCATCTAGACCACTGACAGACCATGAAGGTTCCATCTAGACCGCTGACAGACCATGTAGGTTTCCATCTTGACCACTGACAGACCATGGAGGTTCCATCTAGACCGCTTACGGACCATATAGGTCTCCATCTAGACCGCTGACAGACCATGTTGGTTTCCATCAAGACCGCTGACAGACCATGTAGGTTCCATCTAGACAAATGACAGACCATGTAGGTTCTGTCTAGAACGCTGACAGACCATGGAGGTTCCATCTAGACCGCTGACAGACGATGTAGGTTCCGTCTAGACAAATGACAGACCATGTAGGTTCCGTCTAGAACGCTGACAGACCATGGAGGTTCCATCTAGACCGCTGACAGACCATGTAGGTTCCATCTAGACCGCAGACAGACCATGTAGGTTCCGTCTAGACCGCTGACAGACCATGGAGGTTCCATCTAGGCCGCTGACAGACCATGTAGGTTTCCATCTAGACCGGTATTAATATTTAGTGACTGATGAAATAAACGCTGCAAAATAATACACTTAAAACAGTGTTTTGAGATTTTTTTATGGTACAAAATTTTCTGCTGGATCACTCCACACGTAATATGTAAGTAAATATACCTTACTTATTAACAATATGATAACAAAAATGTGTCAATAAATGATACTCGTAAAATGAGTAAACAGAAGCGCGAAACCATTTCCATAGTCTTTAGAATCAGCATCGGTCTTCATCCAAAACCGGACATAGGCGCACCAGCACTGCACGCAGTGCGGGGGTTGGTTTAGTAAGAACAAGTTACAACCAACA